AACGGCCTCGGGACATGCACAGGAAGGCAGCCGACGACAGACTTCAGAAGGCGAGAATCCACCCCCACCCCCTGTCCCGGCTCCCATCCCCGAGCCAGCGAGTCAAGGGGTCGGGTCCCCGAGCCAGCGAGTCAAGGGGTCGGGATTGGAGGTGGGGGGCGTTTTCTTAATTCTGAGACCCCGAAAATCCCCCCACACCCCCAGTCGCGACCCACTGGATCGCGGGTTCGGGGATGGGGTCGGGACTGGGGCTGGGGGTGGGTTTTCGCTTTCCCCAGACTGGCGTCTCGGAACATTTTCGAAGACCTCGACTGGTCATCTGCGACAGTATCACGAGCTGACAATTAGCACCCTTCCCTAAACGCCCATTTACTTTTTCCTGGGGTGGAATTCTGGGGCGGGCTATGGGCGCGTACTGTCGGATGGGGGTCCCGCTCGAACGGGAACCCCCGTCAGGGTCCGACAGTTCGCACCCATACCTGTAGCCCGAGCATGTTCTTTGGGTGGAGGGCAAAGGGTGGAATCTGAAATGCCGTTTCGACGGATTCTCGAGGCTGGAATTTGCAAGAGGCGAATCACAAGCGGATTGGTTTTCGAGGTGCAGAAGCCCATCTGGATTTCACCCTGAGCCCTCCACCCTAAGAAAATGCTCAGATAGCGCGTTCGTCACCTTGCCTTTCCCCATTCCTCCTCCCTATAGGTCTGAGTGTGTGTTGCTCGTAGATCAACCGCAGTCTCATCAAGAGTTGGCGCGACTGGCACGGAGTTTTTTTCGTCTGGCTCTGCACGCGCGCGGTGCAGTTGCAATACGCGCGCGACCGACGGAGTGCATGGTATTGCAGACGGTCAATGTTAGTGCACTTACACTGCGCCAGGGAATCGTTCCGAATTGCATTGCGACCTTACCATGGCGCGGGACGATCGACATGCGTACGGAAAGAATTGGTACAAGGACCGACAGCGTTCTCTTTCGTTTTGAACAGGAATCTTTGTCGGTGTCGCCGCGGCCTGTGTCCATTTGAGGTAGAAGGCCGCCTGCCCAACAGCGGTCGCCGTGTGTTTGGGACAACATTTGTTGTTGGGCATTGTACCCAATTCGGGCGTCCAAAATTGAATGCGCGCAATCGAGCAATAGTCTGGCACCCTGGACAGTATTGCGCGCCCCAAGCATTCTGCATCCCCCCAGTAGTATCACATTTGTTTGCAGTTGTCGGGTTGCGTTGTTTGCGCTATTGCGCTGGGCGGTGGGGACGTGACAGACCAGATCCAATTGGGTCAACTAGAGTGCCTTCGAGCAGGGGATGCGGGGTGCCCCAGAGCGGCTTGCGATTTCGGTGGCAGTTCGGACACCCCTTCGCAACGAACTGGCGGACCCTGGCACCTCGAATCCGCACGAAGCTTCAAAGCCCCGGCGATGAAAATTTGGGGTGCGAGTTGTTTGTGGCAACCTCATCCTGCGAACGCGCCGCTGCGACGAGTCTGATCCCAACGCAAAAAAAACCCACCCTCTTCAAGCTGGACCGCCCTTCGGGGCTGCCCGAAGCGTTGCTAACTGGCGAGTTGGCTCGTCGTCGTGCCGTCGCTGAGGAGAGGCCCCCTGCGGGAGCCCTTCCGCTGCAGACTGCACGGATCCATCAGCACACCATTTAGTCCAAAGCGTATCTGCAGCCTGGTTCGCATGATAAGCGAATTGGTAGGCTCCACATGGTTCTTTGCGCTGGGAGATATGAAACGGCACGCTAACGAAACAACGCTCGATTGAATTGTTGAGGTGGGATATGAGGAGAGTCCCATGGTAGTTTGACGGATTCGAACGCAGTCAAGTTTCGATGATCCGTTTTGCAATACCAATCGTGCAAGCATGGCAATGGACAATTGCCAATTGCAAGACGCATCTTTTGTGAATCCGACATGACAGCCCATCGGGGCCAGGGCCGTTGTCTTCCCGCAGACTGCGCAAAATACGCAGAATCGAACGGAACCGCATCGGCATAAAGTTGACAATCGATGACATGCTCGGCCAATGCGCGGAGGACATCGTATTGATTGCCGGCGTCAGGTGGGAGCCCGAATTTCTTATTGAACGTAGTTGCAATTCTGTTGGCTCTTGCACCTGCACACAAAACCCACGACCCACTCTTCGACTGCAGCGGTGGGATTCCGACCGACCCATTACTGGCGCGAACAAGCAACGACTCGCACAACATCCATTTGTTCTTGCACGATAGCCGCATGATCTGCATGCGCTTCAGGCTGCGCTCGAGCCGCTAAACAGACTTTCGTAATGACGGCAATGGCCTGCTGAGCATTCGTCCTGTCGACGTTAGAAGTTCAGGGTTCCATATTCTTCAATTCTCTCCTGATCGTATCCACGGTGGGGGAACTATGAACCTTTTTCGCCGTGTTCAGAATGTCAGTCCAGTTGTGACGGCCGACGGAGAGCGGGGATACGAAAAACGAGCTCAAATCCGTCTCACGGAATTCGGCCCGAAACCGAGGCCCTTGAGCACGCTGAAATAACCATTGCTCGCGGGCAGTGAGCGGACCGCTGTACGCGCTTGATGACCGTGTGCGATTATGGGCGGAGGGATTCTGCACGCCGGGCGATCCGTCAAGACATGGTCCAGGTGATCGATCGCTTTCTTATTCATTGTTTTGCCGATCGGCGCGGGCCCTCGTGCCCCCTCCCCGCCCCCATGGCGTAGATCTTGGTTGTTCTCGGCGCTTCTCTCAAGCAGGTGGAGTCTCCCCCATCGGGCGCATTGGCCGCATTGCTGCAAACAGTCGCACTAAGCAGGGGCCGAGCCAGACCCACCCCCCCTTCTGACTCCCCCTTCGCCCAATGTCGAAACGCCGGATGAGAGAACGTTCACCAGCAGGGTGTTGCCCCGAGTCGGTTTCTCAGTTTTGCCTTGCAGGCCCATGCAGCTGCAGGTCTCGAGGACGACCCTGCCCTTTTTGGAAACACCCTCTGAGGAAACACGCAGCCACTGACTGTTATGAACGTTCATGTCACCCATACTGGTGGTGCCTACGACCTGTTGGTGGTAACCGCGCCACCCTGTCAGTAGTCCATAGAGTGCTAATCTAGTGGTGTCGACATCTCCCTGCTCAGGGGGCGCGTACCATTGAACCAATATCCGTGTGGACTGTGCCAAGACCGTTCGGCATCAAGAGAATCGCCAACATGGACGATGTAATTCTTTACAGACCCACCTGTCAACACAATTATTCCACTACCTTGTTTGCCGTCGCGGCGGTCGAGACGCGATATCACAGCAGTGCCGCCATGCAGTAGAGTTGCTTTAACAGACCTGTCTAACCACCTCGTGGCGATTGCCACAGTATTGGTAAAGTGCACGCTGTCAAGTGGACCGTGAAGTTCGGCATGGAGTGAAAGAACACCGCACGAAATCAGAAGCAATGAGGAAACATGAAGCTTTGGATCTGGCGATTCGAGTTCGGATTTCCGCGAGCCTCCGCCAGGTAGGCGCTGGCGACCCGAATTCTGAGACGAATGGTGGCGACGAATATGGCGTGCAAGCACAGGCCGAGGACCTCGACGTCGTTGGCGTCGGGGTGTCGGCTGTTTGGGCCGCTCATCTGCCAGAAGTTGGCGGGGGTGTCAGGGGACGTGAACAGAATGCGTATCACGGATGCAGTGATGATGGATCTCCCCGAGCAATCCTTAGAGATGACCGGGTCGGCGAGCGGCCGCGGAACGCCACCTTTGAAGCCATGCTTGCTCCTCTTGCTTGGACGGTGCGGTGCTGTTGTCCGTCACGAGCCTGTCTTGGGAGCCATATCTTCCACGCAGTATTGACCTCACTGCAAGAGGCAATGTTTTAGGAGGTCGAGGTAGACACAGACACATATCATATAAGAAAAGAGTTGATTACACATGGGAAAACCTGGAACAAGGAAGGGAACACTAAGATCCAGGAACTATGTACAAATATTGGAGTCATGAATTTGCGTATATTTGTTGTCTCTTGGGGCGCCGTTCATGATGCAGGCTTTGATCAGGCCCTTGACCTTTCTCACGGGATAGTTCCGCTTACGTTGGGCAGTTCTGTGCGGGTAGGCTTGACCATTAGTCGTTTGCAGATGTTAAGTTCGGGGCTGGACAATGGTACGTTGGAGAGGAAAGCCCTTGCGACCTCGACGCCGGAGACTTCGGCGCGTGGTCCTGGGGAGACCTTTCGATTCGTGCACGTACCCTTGAACTCATTGCCAAATCCAGTGGGCCAGAGCGTGATTCAGTGACACTTGAGCCTCCATCTTAGCGATGCACGCGTGAGCGCGGCTAACGCTGTTCTGCAACTCTTTGATGGTCCGTGCGTCGGCGCCTGATGAGGGCGATTAGAAGTTTTAAGCAGATGCTCTGCAGCCCAAGTCGTGGCAGGTGTCATGTTACTTATCTATCGAGCTCGTCAACATCGGAGTTCAAGACCATCTTGTCAACCTCAGCGCTCAGCGAATCTTCTTCAATATTGTATTTGTGTCGTTGCCCTGACCAGTGAAAAGGGGGATACAACGCCACCCCCAGAAGAATTTGAAGCAGATGACCGAACAGCCTACGGACGACTTCTGGCAATTCCTCAATTCATTCCTCTCCGGAGTCGATGAGGGCCCCCGTTTCGCAGCTGAAGTTAGGAGCTCATCGGTCGAAGTCTGTGGCGCAGCAGCAGCAGACGATGCCGCTGATATCGCGGCGCAAGTAGGATCCAAAAGGCAAGAGGTGAAACCATAAGTAAAGCACTCCACGGTATTCATGGGGGATGGGGGATATTTTGTTAATTGTTGCCATCGCCTCGGGGTTGGAGCCTTGGGGTAAACTTCGAGCCTTGTGTCTGAAGACCGGGAGAGATGTCTCGAGCGGGACAGGGGGGCTACAGCACCAGGGGCCCCCCCCCCCGCCTGGCTCCTCGCGCTGGTGGTGGTGGTGTCGCCGTGCTCCCCGACCGGAGGGATGGAAAGGGAGGGCGGCCCTGGGGCAGGACTGGACAGGCGACTCCGACGAGGAGGACGATGTCGTCGTCGACCTGGACGAGGACCGCGCGCGGCGTCGCGGCCGGGGGGGGTCCAGCGTTCCCAGGGCAGTTGGCTTCCGTACGTGCTTCCTCTGTTTCGGGACCGCGGGCCCTTGATCGGGCCCAGGAACCGTGAGGCGTGGATCTGGGACGGAACAATTTTTCACGGTGCGCGTATCCCCCTCAGTTTTCATCCTGGACGCCCTCAGTCTGCCGCTCCCCCCGCGCAGTCAGCCGCTTCTGTATGAGTGGGCCAGCCGGCTCGCGGCGCGTTTAGCTGCTAATTAGGCAGTTGTCGTGACCCGTAGTGCTTCTGACTCCGCTAGCGCCTTCGCTGGTGGACGCGACCGACAAAAAATATCCCCATCAGCAATCCCTGGCAGGTTTTGGCAGTCAGTTCCCTGGCAGTCAGCAGCGCGCCTGCAGCTCGATGCACGTTTGCAGACCCTGGCAGTCTTGCAGCTCTGCCCCTCTTCGGCTACCTCCTGGTTCCGTTCTGAGTTGCGGTGGTAGGCCTGCTTTTGTTAGGTAATTTAGGACCTCGCGCGGCCCGCTCTGACCTTGACATGCCGTCGGCGCGTTCGCCTGCGGCTGGCAGAAACGAGTATCCCCATCAGCCTTTTTCGTTTGTTCCTTCGTCGTTTCGCCCCCTCTCGCTTTGCTCGCTGTGCCGCGTAGCCGGTTCGGCGTAACTGTCTCTCCGCTTGCCTGCCCGACTTTGTGACGCCGCGCGGGTGTCCGCTCGCGGTGGCGACAAAACATGTATCCCCATCAGCCCATTCATACATTGTGCGAAGATAGTTGGCGGGAAATGGGACGCAGAGACGCGTGTCGCGAACCAAAGCTGGCAACCAGGGTGAAACGAGAGTTTTCTGGGAGCAAGGGGGCTGCCTTGGAGAGCCTCTTCGGGCCTGCGTGGGGGCGAGGGAGGACGAGCAGGAGGAGGAGGAGGAGGAGGAGGAGGAGGAGGAGGAAGAAGACGAGACGACGACGACCACGGCGAGAAAGAGGAGGAAACGGAGAAGGAAGACGATGAGGGCAAGGACGGGAGCGGGGACGATGAGGCTGACACCGAGGACGAGAACAGAGCCCTCAAGATCGCCTCTTGGAGCCCTCGTGGAACTCGTTTGGGCGATATTGTGGTCATCCTGGGGCTCTTTTGGGTGGTCTTGGAGCCCTCTTGGGGCGCTCTTGGAGCCCTCTTGGGGGTCCGTTGGAAGCCCTGGAGGGCCAATTGGGACCATCTTGGAGGCCATGGAAGGTCAGAAATGTGCCTCCCCCCTTGTGCAATCAAAATCGCCGCTTGGGACCCTCTTGGGGCGCTCTTGGGCCGCTCTCGGCTCTTGGGCCCCCAGTGGGCCTCTCTTGTGCCATCATGGGGCCATCTTGAGGCTTCAAAGGCGCATCGGAAGCGAAAGTGCGAAAAGTCAAATACATTGACTTGCCCGACTTCGGTTTTCAGGGGAATTGGACTTTTTGGAGGGTCCTGAGGGGGCTCCGGGAGCACCTTGGGGCCATCTTGGGGCCCAGAAAGCCGGGAGAGGGTTCCACGTCAGCTCATCCAACGAGCGCTGTTGATAGAGTTGGTCTGGCGGCCTGGGGCCCTCTTGGGGTCGTCTGAGGAGCCCTCCAGAAGCTTTCGCTGCACCTGGCCAAAGCTCCCAGGGACCCCCAGACAGCGCCAGGGAAGACCAACGAGGGCCCAGAGGAGACGGATGAGGAGGAGGAGGAGGAGGAGGAGGAGGAGGAGGAGGAGGAGGAGGAAAACAAAAACCGGAGACATCGAGAAGGCGAGGAGGGGAAGGAGGATGAGCCTCAGGAGGGGGGATGGGGGAGCAGCTCCAAAGTGGACTCCGACAGCGAGACCCAGTCTGTCTACAGTCAACCCGCATAGTTAGGATGAGCGATTTTCCGAGGTTGCCCTTGCATCCATGCCCCCTGGCCCCTCCTTGGCGACTTTCGCTGGCCAACCTTGCTCGAAAAACGCTAACATAGCCCTCCAAGGCCCTTGCATCCTTAACGCGCATCGGGGCCCTCCCGGGGCCATCTTGGAGCCTCGGGGCCCTCTTGGGAGTCCTCGGGGCCCTCGTGGAGCCTCGGGGCCCTCTCGGGACCCTCTTGGAGCCTCGGGGCCCTCTCGGGGCCCCCTGTTGACTCCAGCTGCCGGAGGCCGCCTCGGGGCCCAACTTCGGGGCTCCGCTTGGAGGGCGGCCGCGGGGCCGCCGCGGCCGCGCCCGCGGCGGCGCCGCAGCGGCGCCCTGAGGGCGGCCGCGGCGGTGGCAGTCGGCGAGCCCCGCGCCGCCGCCGCTGCCCCGCCAAAGTTGCCGCCGACGTTGCCGCCAGAAAGTGCCGCCGAAAAGTCTCCGCCGCAGTCGCCGCCCGAAATTGCCCAAGAGGGCCTCATGACGGCTTTGGAAAAGACGTGTCCGACGTGAGACAGCCCAGGAAAAGGTACCCATACCTCTACCCCTCGCCCGTTTTCCCCTTTCTGGGCCGGAGTCTCGGAGGAGGAAAAGGTACCCATACCTTTAACCCCCTCGTCCGCCGAAATCGCCGCCGAACGTGCCGCCGAAAAGTCGCCGAAGGAATGGCGGCCAAGGTTCCCGAGAGCGCCGCTGCCCCGCCGCGTTCGCCGCCGAAGTTCCCGAAAGCGCCGCCGAAAAGGGACGGCGTTGACCTCGATGGTGGCCGTGTGCTCGTGCTCGCGGCGTCGCCGCGCCTTGGAAAAGCATGGTTCTCGCTCGGGGGTGGGCAGTGGCGAGCTCGCGGCTGAGTTTCGGCGGCCATGCTGGCGGCCATGCCAGCGGACTTCGGCCGCAATTTCGGCGGCACTTTCGGCGAGTTCGTCGGTAATTTCGGCGTCCATTTCGGCGGCCATTTCGGCGGCAATGCTGGCGGACTTCGGCCGCAATTTCGGCAGCGATTTCGGCGGCGATTTCGGTGGCAATTTTGGCGGCAATTTCGGCGGCGATTTCGGCGGCAATTTCGGCGGCGACTTCGGCGGTCATTCCGGTGGCTGTGATGATGTTGGGCGTGGTCGTCGAACAGTCACCGCGCGGACCTCTCGGCGCTGAGCGGCGACGAAGAGTCGGTGCGGCGGCGACGCCCGCGCGGGCGTGCAGGGTCGCACGCTGTGTGTGGGGGGCGTGTGTTCAGATCCCGGGGGGCACGGGCCACAACCCGACACCGGAAGTCCATGCGGAGGGCGGGGTCGACAGCCTCCGGGGATTTTCGGGCAGCAGAGATGGTTGACGATCGAGCGGCTCGGGCGGCGTCAGGAGCCAGGCCTCAAGTCGCCAGAGAGAGAGAGAGAGAGAGAGAGACAGGGGTGGAGGGGCAAGAGAGAGAGAGAGAGAGAGCGAGAGAGGGAGAGGGGTGGAGAGGGAGAGGGGTGGGGAACGAGAGAGCGAGAGAGAGAGAGATAGAGAGAGAGAGAGGCTGAGGGCGCGGGGGGGCGGGGGCAAGAGAGAGAGAGAGGGAGAGAGATGGGTGGAGGGGTGGGCAGGCGGCGACAGGACGAAGAGGACTGGGAGGGAAGAGGGAAGGAGGCTCTCCGTGCTATCCTGGGTCTGCTGATGAGCATTCGGGCCTTCTCGGGGCCATCTTTGACGCCCTAGGCGAGGAAAAAATTATCCTGGCGAAGGACCCAACCATATGCAAACGTGAATACCGCAGGGCAGGTGGGACGAAGCAAAAGGAATTCCCAATGTGGCCACGAACCGTGTGAGGGGTGCGCCACACTGGGGCGGGGCCGCCATGCGAACCCGATCCTCGTGAGGGGTGTGCCGACATGGGGCGGGGCCGTCATGCGAACCCTGCCACTGGCGCCTTCGGTGAAGCTCCCTATGAGGTCACGAACCGTGTGAGGGGTGTGCCGAAAAGGGGCGGGGCCGCCAAGCGAACCCTGCCACTGGCGCCTTCGGTGGAGCTTCCTATGGGGCCACGATTCTAGTGAGGGGTGCGCCGACATGGGGCGGTGCCGCCATGCGAACCCTGCCACTGGCGCCCTCGGTGGAGCTCCCCACAGGGCCACGATCCTCGTGAGGGGTGCGCCGACATGGTGCGAACCCTGCCACTGGGGCCTTCGGTGGAGCTCCCTATGGGGCCGCGATCCTCGTGCGGGGTGCGCCAGATTGGGGCGGGGCCGCCATGCGAAGCCTGCCACTGGGGCCCTCGGTGAACTCCCTATGGGGCCGCGAACCGTGTGAGGGGTGCGCCAGAATGGGGCGGGGCCGCCATGCGAACGCAGCCACTGGGGCCTTCGGTGGAGCTCCCTATGGGGCCACGAACCGTGTGAGGGGTGCGCCAGATGCGGGCGCCACTGGGGCCTTCGGTGGAGCTCCCTATGGGGCCACGAAGGGGTGCGAAATGGGGCGGGGCCGCCATGCGAACGCAGCCACTGGGGCCTTCGGTGGAGCTCCCTATGGGGCCACGAACCGTGTGAGGGGTGCGCCAGAAATGGGGCGGGGCCGCCATGCGAACGCAGCCACTGGGGCCTTCGGTGGAGCTCCCTATGGGGCCACGAACCGTGTGAGGGGTGCGCCAGAATGGGGCGGGGCCGCCATGCGAACGCAGCCACTGGGGCCTTCGGTGGAGCTCCCTATGGGGCCACGAACCGTGTGAGGGGTGCGCCAGAATGGGGCGGGGCCGCCATGCGAACGCAGCCACTGGGGCCTTCGGTGGAGCTCCCTATGGGGCCACGAACCGTGTGAGGGGTGCGCCAGAATGGGGCGGGGCCGCCATGCGAACGCAGCCACTGGGGCCTTCGGTGGAGCTCCCTATGGGGCCACGAACCGTGTGAGGGGTGCGCCAGAATGGGGCGGGGCCGCCATGCGAACACCACAGGATGGTTGGAAACTAATGGCCATGGCGATGATGATGACGATGATGATGCTAGTGGTGATGATGACGATGATGATGATGATGATGATGATGATGATGATGATGATGATGATGATGATGATGATGATGATGATGATGATGATGATGATGATGATGATGATGATGATGATGATGACGATGATGGGAGAAGAGAGGAGGGCAGCGGGAGGTGAGACGCGGGGCGCTGTCTCTTCAAAACGAGGACCCAACACCACAGGATGGTTGGGAAAAAGAAAGAGCGGTGCTGTATGTGCCCCTCCCATGGGGCCTGGGGCATCGTGTTCTGGTTGGGGCTCGGTCGCAACGCTCCTCTGGGGACCGCGACGCATCGTCTGGCGCACGCCACCCTTTCGGGCCACGAGCCTCGCCAGGAGGGCCCCACGACGGCCCGAGAGGTCCCCGGGACGGTCCGCCAGGGCCTCCGCACGGGAAGCCGAAGGCGGCCCAGGGAGCCCACCACGACGGCCTCCCCTCTGCGCCGAGCGGCCCCACGGCGCCAGACGACGCCCCGAGGAAGCCCCGAGACGGCCCAAGAGAGTGCCCCAAGGGGCCCCCGCGGAAGCCTCCGGAAGCCAGGCGAGAGTCCCCAAAAACAGCCCAGTCGCTCGGACGTGTGCACTTTTTCCGGGCGGGGATTATATCCTGCGAAATAACCATGCACGAAACCGAAAAAAAAACACAGGTAATGGACGTCCGAGCGATGGCCAGAGAAGGCCCTTCTCCAGCGCTCCCCCACTGGCTTTCCCGGCGGGCTTCCCCAGCGGCCGTGGGAGAACGCAGTCCCTGGCGCGGGCCCGCCCGAACGCGCCGCGCCCTCCCAGCGGCCGGCCGCGCCCCTGCTCTGAGCATCGAGTGTGTCTTGGCCCTCCTCCTCCTCGCCCTCCTCCTCCTCCTCCTCCTCCTCCTCCCCCTCCTCCTCCTCCTCCTCCCCTCCTTCTTCCCCTCCTCCTCCTCCTCCTCCTCCTCCTCCCTCCCGCCCTCTCCCTCCTCGCCCTCCTCCTCCTCCTCCTCCTCCTCCTCGTCCTTCTTTTCCTCCTCCTCCTCCTCCTCCTCCTCCTCCTCCCTCCCCCTCCTCCTCCTCCTCCTCCTCCTCCTCCTCCTCCTCCTCCTCCTCCTCCTCCTCCTCCCGCCCTCTCCCTCCTCGCCCTCCTCCTCCTCCTCTTCCTCCTCGTCCTCCCAGCGGTCGGCCTGGCCCTCGCCTTGACCACAATCGCCAAGTGCACTACGAGAGCGAGTAGGGCGGCGAGCAGGACGAACGCGACGAACTGCAGGAGCACGATGGCGTTGGAGACAAACGGAGGAATGCGACGAACAAAAGGAGTACGATGAGACGAATGCGACGAACAGCAGGAGTACGACATGCGTAGGAAGAACAGGAGCGGGAGGACGAGTGTTAGTCGGAGGAAAGCGCCACACGAGGCGCATGCGAAACCGCGAACGCTGAACGGTCCCAGCGAAGGCTCTCGCCTGCTCTAGTTGCTGCTGCTTGCCGATTGCCCTCCCCGGCGGTTGCATCGAATCGCGCCCCTGAACCCCCCCGCTCGTACGCTAAGACCTTATCCAAGGGTCTCGCGGGACAGGGATTGCAAGGAGAAGCCTCGGCGACCGCGGGGCAGCAAGCCAAGGGGGGAATGGGAGATGAGCACCGCAAGGCGGAGGACACGGGAGTGCGGCCGGGGGGGTCGCAGCCACCCTGAACCCCCCCCCCCGTGAGGCGCTCGCCCGCCCGCCCCTCGGAGGCCTCCCTCCCTTCCAAGGCTTCCCTCCGCCCCCCCGGTTCTCTCCGAGGCCCCCCGGCCCCTCCTCCCCCGGCCCCGCGGGCAGGACGCCGAGGAGGACTCCGGGGGCGGCCTCCGGGCCGCCATCCTCGAGGAGCTGCCGCCCCGCGAGCTGGGGGCCTGCGGGGGGGCGGCGGGGGCGCCGGCGGGGGCAGGGGAGGGGAGAGCCTGGGTGAGCCCAACGGCGGCGGTGAGTGCCGTCTGCGGCAAGTGCAGCATATGACCCCGCGGCTGCGCGCCGAGAGGGAGCCACTTACGTGTGCACGTATGTGTATGAATATACGTATGCGTACGTATATACATATACGCAGACATATTTCATAGGTGTACCCATCTATGCCCACCCACAGCGTTTGCACAACAGAGAGGTCTTTAAACGTCTTGCCTCACGTCGTAAATCTTCTTGTCTGAAAGAGTATTTCGGACCTACCTCCGCCGCCCCTCGGACTTGTCGGGTCCCCCTGGGGATGTGCAGTGTACATTCGATGCTGCCCCGTCGGCCATCCTAAGTATGAGTTCGTTCCATCCGAGGCAGGCTGGCATGCCCCCCCCGTAATCCTCTGCCTACAATTACGCTCGCCTTGTTTTTCATACCCAGATCCATGGGTTCTCAACAACCCCTTGCAACACATGGGCCGAAGTGCACACGCGCGCGTTGTCGCGCGCGCATGCCGAAACCCTTTTAAACAATTATCTTGGCGAAGGACCCAACCATATGCAGTTGTGGGTACTGCAATTGTGAATATCTTCTTCGGTGAAGCTCCCTCTGGGGTCACGCAGCGCTGCACTAGGTGGGGGTGGGACGCATGCGGGCGATAGCACTGGAGCCGTCGGTGGAGCTCCCTGTGGGGCCAACAAGTGTTGTACTGGGTGGGTGAACCTGCCAAACTGGGTGTGTGGGACACATGCGGGCGGTCCCACTGGGGGCTTCGGTGAAGCTCCGTACGGAGCCACGAAGCGCTGCACTGGGTGGGGGGGGGGAACGCATGCGGGTGGTATCACTAGGTCCGTCGGTGGAGCTCCCTATGGGGGTCACGAAACGTTATACTGGGTGGGTGGAATTGCCAAATTGTACTGTGCTGTGTGTGTGTGAGTGAGTGAGAGTGTGTGTGTGTGTGTATATGTGGGTGGGGGGGGGGAGGGGGGGGGACGCGCGCGGGCGGTCCCACTTGGGGCTTCGGTGGGGCTTCCTATGGGGCCACGAAGCGTTGTGCTGAGTGTGTGGAAATGCCAAATCAGTTGTGCGGAGCGCGTGCGGGCGGCGGTCCCAGTGGGGGCTTCGGTGGGGTGTCCTATGGGGCCACGGAACGTTGTATTGGGCAGGTGAGCATGCCAAGTTGCGTGTGTGGGGGGGGGGCGCACGCGGGCGGAGGCACTGGGGGATTCGGCGGAGCTCCATATGAGGCCACGAAACGCTGGACTGGGCGTGTGAAAATGCTAAACTTAGGCTTTCGGGACGCATGCGGACGGTGGCAGTGGGGGGTTCGGTGGAGCTCCCTATGGGGCCACAAAGCGGTGCACGTGGTGGGCGAAAATGCCAAATTGGGTGTTTCAGGACGCGTGCGGAAGGTGTCACTGGGGGATTCCGTGGGGCTCTCTATGGGGCCACGAAACATTGTAATTATTGGGCGTGCGGGACGCATGCGACGGTCCCATTGGGGCCGTCGGTTGGGCTCCGTATGGGGCCACGAAACGCTTGATTAGGTGGGGGGGACGCATGCGGACGCTAGCACTGGGACCTCCGGTGGGGCTCGTTTACGGGGCCACGAAACGCTGTCATGGGCTGGGGGACGCATTCGGACGGTAGCACTGGGACTTTCGGTGGGGCTCCCTATGGGGCCACGAAATGTTGTAATGGGTGGTGGGGACGCATGCGGACGGTAGCACTGGGACTCCCGGTGGGGCTCCCTATTGGGTCACGAAGCGCTGTACGGGGTGGGTGAAACGCAGGGAGGGAGGAGGAGTGGGGAGGAAGAGAAGGAAGAGGAAGAGAACGCGGGGACCGCTATGTCAAAACGAGGACCCAACACCACAGGATGGTTGGGAAACATTCAAGGTTCCGTGAGGATTTTTAAACCGAGTGTCGCGAACACATAAACACATGTGGTTTCGCAACATTGGCTTTCTAACAACAACTTCCGTTCGCGCTCTTGCAAATCCTGAAGAGAGCCAACGGTCTTCCCAACAGCTTCATACCATACTACCAAACGTGTTTCTCGCGCGCGTATGTCGGCATCGTTCGAGCGCCCTTGCGCGCGTGCTGTCCTAAGAATCCTTCGCGACACACGGGGCTAAGTGCATACGCGCGCGTCTTCGCGCACGCATGCCGAAATCATTCAAAAACCTCAGGTGTCGTAGTGATTTAAAAAACAGCGTTTCGAAAACAAATACAACCACATGGTTAGGCGACTTCAGTCTTCAGAAAAGCTTGCGTGTGCGCTCTTGCGATTGTTTGAAAGCAGCTTGTTTTGTTTTTCGCAATTGTCATCAAATTCTGCCAAGGGGCCTCTCGCGCCGCACGTCGAGCTCATCCAAACGCCGCGCGTTGGGGGGGGAACGACCCGTGTCAAAGAATACCACCCGAGCCTCGCGCGCGTCGGTTGCGCGCGCATGTCGAATTCTTTCGACAACCGTCATTTCCGACGCGGGGCCCTCGTCATCGCTATCGACGGGCATGGTCAACATCGGCGCCGTCATTGGCCTTGCCGTCGTCATCGCCACCATCGTCACCATCATCGCTAGTCTCGTCATCGTTTTTCCCGCGCCCGCCCAATTCACCAACTCGCACTGAAGTGCCCGCTGGGAAGTGCCCAGCGGTCAGCGCCACTGCGGCCGCGTCGGTCTCGCCGCACTAGTGCGCAGGGGCGCAGGGGGGGGAACATAGGGCGCGGAGGAGGTGTGGGGGCGCAGGCGGAAGGTCGACGCAGGGGAGGAAGGAGGAGGAGTGCCCATGCTTCCTTCCCCTCGCGGTGGGAGGTTCTAGGCACCTTCGTGGGCCCTTGGAGGCTCCTCCGACCTACCCGCGACCCGCCCCGCGACCCGCCCGCGACCAACCCGCGACCCACCCGCGATCCACCCCGCGACCCACCCGCGACCCACCCCGCGACCCATCCGCGACCCAACCGCGACCCACCCGCGACCCACCTTGCGACCCACCCTCTAGGGATGAAAAGCCACCCAGACCCGACAATTGATGTTTTTTGACGGTTCTGGGCGTTGACTAAGCAGCCTTGCGTTGTTCGATTCATTCCTTGCGTGCGTTTCTTTAACGGCTTCGCTTGTCGGGGTGATTATTATTGGTATGATTGGGTGGATTTTCTGCCCTCTACACCCGCGACCCAACATCGACCCACCCGCGACCCACACGCGACCCATTTGCGACCCACCCGCGACCGACCCACATTAGTTTAACGAACAAATCGGCGCTTGCGTCGAGCTGGTTGTATAATGTGTGAAATTTTGGCGCCTGTGGCGGGCTTCTCCAGAGTCTCGCAAACTGCCGACGTCCCCACCGCCCCCTCGCTCGTATCCGCATCTGCGGGGTGCTACGTATAGCAGCCGTTGCGTAGGAAGTCCAGCGTGCACTACTGGACTTCCTACGCAGCGGCTGCTGTACTGCTTCTGTCTAGTGCTACGTTGACACATCGTGGCAACCCAAACAATCGCCCCCTCAGCATACATACAGTTTGGCCCTACGATCCCGCCCCGTAACAAACATGCGCGCACGCGCCACGAGATTGAGACAGTGCGGTGCAAACGGCACCAACTCCAGCATCGCGACGTCAACAGCATCGACGCCGTCACCTACTCGGGCACCGACGCCTTCAGAATCGACGCTGTCGCCGACGCCGGCACAGACGCCAACAGCAGCATGGCGTTGACGCCAACACCGACTTTGACACCGACGCCAACGTACGGTACAGACTCTAGCACCGACTCGAGCACCGACTTTGGCACCGACGCTTGCAGCATCGACGCTAGCACCGACACTTGCACCGACCCTGGCGCCGATGCCACCAGCAGACTGGCATCGACGCCGACACCGACTCTGGCGCCGACACCAGCAACATGGACGCTGGCAGTGACTCCAGCCCCGACGCCAGCAGCATCGACGTCGCCGCCGATTCCGGCATCGAGGAACGAAGAATGACATAAATACGTAGCACCCCGCAATTGCGGATAAGAGTGAGGGGGCGGGCGCGGGCGACGCGGGCGTCGTCGGGCCGGCGGACCTCGTGGCCCCCACTTTCCCTGTCGATGGCGATCTCCTCCTTCTCCTCCTCCTCCTCCTCTTTCTCGTCCTCGTCCTCATCGTCATCGTCATCCTCCTCCTCTTTGTCCTTCTCCTCTTCTTCCTCGTCCTCCCTCTCCCCCCCTCGTCCTTTCATCATCGTCCTCCCATTGTCGTCCTCCCCCTCATCGCCCTCCATCATCGTCCTCCCGTTGTCGTCCATCATCATCATCATCCTTCCCCTCCCCCTCCTCGTCCTCCTCCTTCCCCTCCTCCCCCTCCTCGTCCTCCTGCTCCTCCTCCTTTTTTTTCCCAACCATCCTGTGGTGTTGGGTCCTCGTTTTGAAGAGACGGTGCCCCGCGTCTCTCCTCCTCTCCTCCTCCCCCTCCTCCTCCTCCTCCTCCTCCTCCTCTCATCATCAGCATCATCATCATCGTCACCGTCACCGTCATCATCAGCATCATCATCATCATCATCGTTCTTATCACCATCGTCGTCATCATCATCGCCGTCTCCATCATGGCCACACGTTTCGTGGACCCATAGTGAGCTCCACCGAAGGCCCCAGTGGCAAGGTCCGCATGCGGTTCCACCTCCATTTCGGCGCACCCCTCACACGTTCCGTGGCCCCATAGGGAGCTCCACCGAAGGCCCAAGTGTCAGGGTCCGCATGCGGTTCCACCTCCATTTCGGCGCACCCCTCACACGTTTCGTGGCCCCATAGGGAGCTCCACCGAAGGCCCAAGTGTCAGGGTCCGCATGCGGTTCCACCTCCATTTCGGCGCACCCCTCACACGTTTCGTGGCCCCATAGGGAGCTCCACCGAAGGCCCATGTCAGGGTCCGCATGCGGTTCCACCTCC